GTTTCGCGCCTTGGGATCTTCCAGATGTTTGCGCAGGGCGCTGGAAAACCCGACCCTTGATAAAAGATGGCAACCGTCTTCTGACCATTTGAACATATTCTAGGATCGAAGTTAAATCTTTGCTGAAAGTTTCAATAGGTTTGAACTAGCATCTCTTAAGATATTGAATTTTGATGTTCTGTCCATTAAAGGCTCAAACTAGACCCATCAGCTGGTACAAGAACTTACCAGAGAACATCGCCAGGTGATTAAAGGCGTTCGAGCTTATCTTTTGACATACGGTAGAGTCTATGATAGTAAAAAAGACCCAACAGGATACGGCTCTATGCGGCTTCTTCACAGCGAAAAAGCAGAAATTCTTAAAGTATCTGTGATATACCAATAAATAGCTCAGAAGTGTTCAGTTTGAAACAAGAATATTCATTTCAAGATTCAAACGCGCAGAGGAACGTATTATGGGCAAGAAACGTCTTTTGCTTTAACCGGTTGGACGCTATCAGCTAAACGTGAGAGAACCGTACCCGTAAAAAATTCATTTCCCCTCAACCGAATGAGATGATAGAAATCTGAAGAATTTGCAGCCAATAAACGATAACTGGTGCTACTTCTATTATGAATTCCAGCTTTTCATCTCGTCTGTTTAGCGACTTACAGGCAACAGACAAACTTTCTAGAAGATATAATAATCTTCTAACTAAAACTCTAAAAAGATTGAGAAGTCACATAGCTTCGTCCTGTTGAGGTCTTTTTTACTATCATGGGTCGCACTGAATGCCAAAATATAAGGACAAATGCCTTTAGTCACCTGGCGATATTCCCTCATTAGTCTGCTAGAAACAGTTGGGAACAGAGAAAAATTTCTCTTTTTTTCTTGTGATTTTCAGTTGAATTTCTTTCTTTATCAGTAAATAGACTGAAGGAACCTGAAATACTTTCGTATCTAAAGCGTGGTTTTTTATGAAACATGTTAACGAAGAATTGACAGTTCTAGAACGTGAGCCGAAGGAGAAAATATTTTTTGCTAGCCTAATTTACGAGCTCTTTTATGCATGTTTTTACCAAAACGGGCACTCTCAGCAGACCAAGATCGATCCACAAAACTGCCTTCTTCCAATGCAACAATACATGCTGGAGAGCACGCCGAGATAGTACAAACAACAGTCCTAGATGACGAACGTTTCTGTCCATGTCCATATTTGTATGATAGACTTGTTGTTTAGAGCGAATGAAAAACCAAATATTTGCCGAAATACCGATAAAAAATGCGGTTTTTGTGTTGTTGTGCCTCAAAAGTGAAAGAAAAAGAATACCCCACCTTGCGGACACCGTTACCGGTGTAGGATGCTGCCGAATGGCAGTTTCAATAGCCCCATATTTTCCCTGCAGTTGACAAGCTTCTGAAATGATCACCCATCTCGTTACTAGTCATCAACCACAGCTCTGGCTAGAAGGCTAGCCTGACGCAGAGTTCTTTTTCTCCATTAGTAGAGCTCACGATACACGCTTCACTAACCACACACTAGCTTCCGGTATGCCACGAAACATATTCGGAGAAGCTGTATTGTACGTAGTGATTCTGCTGTTAGATATGCATAGTGTAGATAGTAAAGATTCAAGTGGTGAAGGTTCAGATGGTCAGAGAGTCAGGTGGTGAAGATTTATTGGTTATTAAAGAAGATTGCATTAATCACGTCACGAAAAGAGTAATGAAGCATTTAATGAAATTGAAACAAGAAAAGACTCAACGAATTCCAGCGACTACAACAACTATGAAAAGTTCTACATCATTATCATCATCTAAGAAACAACCAGCAAGACAACAACAACTACTCGATGACAATAAAAAATGGGGTGATGGTGTTGGACGAATGACAACGTCAATGATGGATAAATTATCGACCAGCTATGGAATTGCGATTCGGCAAGCGAGTTCATTGTCTTGTGGTAAGAAATATAACTAATATTATAAATGAACTATGTTTTGATAAAGAGATTGATACTGAATACGTTTTTGATTTCCAGTTTTGGGCAAGCCAGTGAATGAAGCATTAGATATTATGCAACAATATTGCAAAGCAGCTTTTTATCATTACATAAAAACGAATGACTATGACAAAGACAAACAACACAAGTTTTGCCCTAAAAATAGTGATACTTGGTGCTCATATCAACAAAACAAGTTATGGAGCAACAATAAAAATAATATGAAAATGAAGTAGAATCAAAAGTATCTAGACCCGGTTTTTTATAATGTTTTGAAACCTATGATCGAGAAACTAACATCTCGACAACTGTTACGTCGTTGTTTGCGTGGAATAAGGCAAAGCTCAAATGAATCTTTAAATTCCATTGTGTGGTAGGTATTAGTTCTAAATTTTCCCTATCATCTGATGAATATAAAACACTTGGCTCATTCTCTTTGTAGGAGTATTTTATCGAAATCTAAAAATCATGGTTTTCGATCTATAAGAGGTACTGCTGCTCTCGCAGCAGTTGTATTGTTGTATACTTCCATGTATTGGAAATACATGGAAATCTTAATCCGTCTGTAAGGGTCAATGAGCTTGTAACTGTATGAATACTAGAAACAACTTGTAATACAGTCCCGAACCTTTTTGTGTACGGGTTCTATGGAAATGAGAGTGTGGTTGTTGCTATACTCCGAATGGCTGTACTCCCTGTATAGAAAACATCCATCACTCTCATCCTTCCTATATTTCAACTTTCGTAGTTTAAGCGCATAAATTATTTAGAGAAAAGATTCGGATCAAAATTATTGACCGTTATTGTTTTCCGGTACGAAAACAATAATTGTTATAATTTAATTTCCATTATTGATAATTGTTTCTTTAGTTACAAAAAGTTAACTTGTAACCAACTTTTATTTTCGATCATTATATACATTTTTTGTGTGGTCTAGTTCAGACCTAATTATTATTTAGTTTTCTTTCTTTAACTTTTTCAACTTGTCAAATTCTTGAGAAAAATAAAATATTAAAAATTCTAAATTCAAACTTGACTGAGTGAAGTTGTACAGCGTTTGAATACGTACAGCGCTTACAAATTGGTGCCGCGACCCGGGAAGATTTATAAATAATTAATCCGCTCTTCTCACTCTCAAGAACGCTGATAAATTTTTGGTGATCAATATGTACGAACAACACACACAACACATATCAACATACAACATCACCTCACTTTCATCCATATCCGTTAATTGTTGCTTGTAATATATTGTACAATATTGAAAAAAAAAAAGAAAAGGAAAAGAACAATAGGAATTTTACAGCAAGTATATAAATAATTCTG